AAATAATAAAATAATGGTCAGGCCGCGTGTGGACTCACCGCTCTCACCTCCTCCTCATGCTGTGCGGCCCGGTTCCTAACAGGGCCACGGACCGCTACCGCTACCGGTCCGTGGTCCCCGGGGGTTGGGGGACCGCTGCGCTAGACAACAATCCCCCCCGCCCTTATGCTCAAGCACACACGCCCGTCCAAGAGCCAGTTGCTAATTTGTGCTAATTGTACGCTAATTCATGCTAATTGCATGCTAATTTATGCGCCGCTCAACAGCCACTATAGTAATTAGAACAACAACAACAAAAACATCAATAACACCACCACACTCCAATAATAATAATCATTATTGCAACAAAAGGTTTTACATTTTTATTTTATTTTATCCTTATTTTTGCTCAAACGTCGAAAATTTCATTCAAGTAAAACTTCCTCTCTTAAAATATATTACCGTTATAATTTTGTTCAAAAGATTAATATATTTTTAAAAATTAAAATTAGTACGAATCATGCACACACACGCACGCACGCAAGTGAACGCACGCACGCACACGCCACAAACTGTGCGTGCGCCAACCGTCGCGCGTCCGGTAACTCGAACACCGAGAAAGATCCAAAAAAGCTTTAAATCTAAATTTAAAACCCACAGGATACAGAAAGATCCAAATGGTCGTTTGGATCTTTCTGTATCCTGTGGGTTTTAAATTTTGATTTAAAGCTTTCATGACTGCAGGGATTCATATTATTGGTTCTTTGGGTAAAGTCACCACCACGTAGAAGGGAAACAATAAAATAATAAAAATATAAAACAATAAAATTCTCACGACGTTTCGACTGCAACACAAGCAATCATCATCAGGTGTGAAAACCACAGCAAGAAAATTTGAAAGGGCGTTTTTTTCTTTCTTTTTTATTGTTTTATATATTTTTTTATTATTTTGTTGTTTCCCTTCAACGTAACTTTACCGAAAAAACTAAGATTATAATAATTGTATTGTTTTATATTTTTATTATTTTATTGTTTCCCTTCTACGTGGTGGTGACTTTACCCAAAGAACCAAGAGTAATAATTGTATTTGATTTAAAGCTTTCGTGACTGCAGTAATTCATATTCTTAGTTTTTTCGGTAAAGTCACGTTGAAGAGAAACAACAAAATAACAAAATATATATAAAACAATAAAAAATTCTCACGACGTTTCGACCATAACTCAAACGGTCATCATCAGGTGTGTTGGTTTGCATAAATTTATTTTTAAACGGCACATTTATTTATTTATAAAAAACGTTGGCGTCACGCGCAGCGATTGGCAGTTTGCCCAGGACTAGTCCATCTATTTTTTTTTAAAAGAGGAGGGGGGAGACGAAATTTTTATAATGTATGCTGTCTGAAAGCCACTGTAAGCGTGAACAATCAATCAAGAACTGAAATGATTTATCAAATCTTTCCAATGATTGCTAAGATAGAATCCATCTTCTCGGTTGAAATTGTCTCTGTGCTTGTATATGTGGATAGCCTCATGAACGAATCTCTCATGGAAGCCAGATGGCTTACAAAGAACCTCCATCTTGGAAAAGTCAATGGCATGTGAGCCTACTGAATTAGAACAATGATCTGCTACGGCCGAGGTGTTGGTCCTACCGTGTTTAAGGTCTGCTTTATGTTCACGAATGCGGTCCGAGACATGGCGTTTGGTTTCTCCAATGTAACTACTACCACAGAGGCAACTTAGTTTGTAGACACCAGGGTATTGTATGTCCGGAATCACATCTTTTACAGACAGAACCAGATCACAAAAAAGATCTCCAAAATCTTGAATAAACACAAGATCCAGGTCCGTTTCAACACATTACATAAAATCCGTGATCTGGTTCCGTCTGTAAAAGATGTGATTCCGGACATACAATACCCTGGTGTCTACAAACTAAGTTGCCTCTGTGGTAGTAGTTACATTGGAGAAACCAAACGCCATATCTCGGACCGCATTCGTGAACATAAAGCAGACCTTAAACACGGTAGGACCAACACCTCGGCCGTAGCAGATCATTGTTCTAATTCAGTAGGCTCACATGCCATTGACTTTTCCAAGACGGAGGTTCTTTGTAAGCCATCTGGCTTCCATGAGAGATTCGTTCATGAGGCTATCCACATATACAAGCACAGAGACAATTTCAACCGAGAAGATGGATTCTATCTTAGCAATCATTGGAAAGATTTGATAAATCATTTCAGTTCTTGATTGATTGTTTACGCTTACAGTGGCTTTCAGACAGCATACATTATAAAAATTTCGTCTCCCCCCTCCTCTTTAAAAAAAAAATAGATGGACTAGTCCTGGGCAAACTGCCAATCGCTGCGCGTGACGCCAACGTGTTTTTTAATAAATAAATAAATGTGCCGTTTAAAAATAAATTTATGCAAACCAACACACCTGATGATGACCGTTTGAGTTATGGTCGAAACGTCGTGAGAATTTTTTATTGTTTTATATATATTTTGTTATTTTGTTGTTTCTCTTCAACGTGACTTTACCGAAAAAACTAAGAATAATAATTGTATTGTTTTATATTTTTATTATTTTATTGTTTCCCTTCTATGTGGTGGTGACTTTACCCAAAGAACCAAGAATAATAATTGTATTGTTTTATATATGTTTTTATTTTATTGTTTCCCTTCTACGTGATTATACTGTGGGTCTTTCTGTAAAGTCGCGTAGATTGGCTTCAAAGAAAATACCAAAAAAGTTACAAAAACCACACGACAATTCGACCGTTACGCGGGACTTTTCCCGAAAGACCTGTAGAACGTGAATTCCTGCAGTCACGAAAGCTTTAAAGTCGAGACCATTTGTCAATCAATGACCGGCGGCCGTTCGGTCAGCATCCCGGCGGCTCCACCATCATCATCGTCGTCGTCTTCACGGGGTACTGCTCCCTTCAGCGGCGTCCGTCTGGAACAACGCCGTTCCCGTAAGACGTTAGGATGATTGTCTAAATAATCATCTAGATGATGCTCTAGATTGATCGTCTAGACGATCATCTAGATGATGGTCTAGATGATGGTCTAGATGATGGTCTAGATGATGGTCTAGATGATGGTCTAGATGATTGTCTAGATGATTGTCTAGATGATTGTCTAGATGATAGTCTAGATGATGGTCTAGATGATAATCTAGATAATTGTCTATATGATGGTCTAGATGATGGTCTAGATAATTGTCTATATGATGGTCTAGATGATCGTCTAGATGACGGTCACGGACCGGGGCGGGCCACGCGCGGACTAAAATAAGTGTCGGATTCTGACTTCTCATAAGAAGCACGCAACCGAGATCCCTCGCATGCGCAGTTTACCCCCCCCCCCCCCCCCCCCCCCCCGTGACTTCTTTACCGAAAGAACCAAAGAGTATAGTTTACAGGAGGGTTCGCCCTCCTATGAGACTCTAATACCGCCGCTGATCTGACAGGAGGCGGATCTCAGACGGTATGGCGAGCGATGGGGGAGCGGCTGTCAATACAGATGATGACGAAGCTTCGCTTGCTCACTCGCTCGCCCGCCCACCGCTCACCTCCTGCTGCTGTGCGGCCCGGTTCCTAACAGGCCGTGGACCGGTCTCCGGTCCACGGCCCCGGGTGTTGGGGACCGCTGGTCCAGACGATCATAACGGGCACGGGGCGCCGGCTGGCGGTAAAATGCGGTGAAGGGGTCCCGGCATCGTTTGAACCTCACAGAACCGACCCTTCCATGAATCTCAATGGGAGGTGAGGGTGGGGGTGGGCGGGGGTGGGGGAGGGGGTTGGTGACCCCCTCCCCCCCCGGGGTCAGCTCGCTCGCGTTGCCGAGGAACGAGAAACGCTCGCAACCAGAATCTCGTCGACCGCACTGACACCCCCCCCCCCCCACCGCTGCCAGCCCCCATCATTCCCATTGGCCGATTCCATCCGGGTGCCTTCCTGCTCTCATTGGCTGGGAGGGCCGGAAGACAAACCGCCCCTCCCCCTCCACCCTGATTGGCTGAGGGATTTGTGGGCGCGGGGGAGGGGGGGGGAGAAACAAGTAATGCCGCGATTTCATTGGACGGAAGGTTGGAGCACCTCGAATGCCATTGGACGGCAGAGGTTTCGGCAGTGACTCTTGAATTCCATTGGTCAATAGGAATAACAACGATAAAGAGATCTTACGTCTGATTGGATGATGAAAATGGGATGGCGGCGAGCCCTTTCAATTTGATTGGACGAAACGGGAGACGGGTAGCGGTAAAAGCGGCTGATCTTAAATCCGATTGCTCAAAAAAAAACCCAGCCTTGAATCCGATTGGGTGAACATTTTTTTCGGGGATGCCGGTGACATTTGAGGTGCTACCCGATTGGCCACGGCAGAAGGAAGGGGGCTGGCAGTAAACCTTGAACTGATTGGTCGAAAACCAGAGCCGACAGCATTGACTCTGAAACGTGATTGGACAAACGTTTGTAGATCTAGAATCTGATTGGTTGAGCAGTATTCCTTGAATCCTGTTGGTTGAGCAGTAATCCTAAAATGCCATTGGTTGAGCGGTAACCTTCAACCTGATTGGTTGAGGAGTATTCCTTGAATCCGATTGGTTGAGCAGTGATCCTAAAATCCCAATGGTTGAGCGGTAACCTTCAATCCGATTGGTTGAGCAGTATTCCTTGAATCCGATTGGTTGAGAAGTAATGCTTAAGTCCGATTGGTTGAGCGATAACTTTCAACGCGATTGGTTGAGCAGCATTCCTTGAATCCCATTGGTTGAGCGGTAACCTTCAACCAGATTGGTTGAGCAGTATTCCTTGAATCCCATTGGTTGAGCAGTAATCCTAAAGTCCGATTGGTTGAGCGGTAACCTTCAACGCGATTAGTTGAGTGGTCTTCATCGAATCCGATTAGTTGAGCAGTAACCTTCAATTCGATTGGTTGAGCAGTAATCCCAAAATCCGATTGGTTGAGCGGTAACCTTCAACCCGATTGGTTGAGGAGTATTCTTTGAATCAGATTGGTTGAGCGGTAACCTTCAACCCGATTGGTTGAGCCACGTTCCTTGAATCCGATTGGTTGATCAAGATTCCTTGAATCCGATAAGTTGAGCGGTAACCTCTCAAATCCAATTGGCTGAGCAGTAACCACCCCTCTCTCTCTTGAATCCCGATTGGCTGAGACCAAATTAATTGAATGTCCACCAACCCACACACAAGGTCCGATTGGCCGATTGGCCGATCAGCTCCAGCCAATCGATGGCCCCCCCGGCGGAGGGCGGGCAGGCGGGTGCTGTGGGTGGGGGTGCTCACATCCGATTGACCAACCACCTCCAGCCAATCAATGTCCACCCCCCGGCAGAGGGAGGGGGGAGGGAGAAGGGTGGAAAGGGGCGTAGCCCGCAGAGGCCGCCTCACATCCGATTGGCCAACCACCTCCAGCCAATCGATGGCCACCCCACGGCGGAAGGTGGGGGGGCGGAGCCAAGGGGCGTGGCCCACTGAGACCCCTTCACATCCGATTGGCCGCGAGCCGGGAGCGATGGGCGTGGAGGAGGAGCCAGCGGCCATGGTCGTGGCTCCTCCCCCACAGGAGGGTTTCCTCGACGCGGCTTGGGCGCGGAACGTCGGACATCCCCGCGGGGCCCTGCGCGAGGCTCACGAGGGCCACGCAGGCGGCGTCGTCGCCCAGCAGGTGGACACGGGGGTGGAGCAGCAGCGTCGTGCGGGCAGGGCGGGCAGAGTCGACTACTGCTGGGGTGGGGGGTGGGGGAGAGGAGGGGGGAAGGGAGGTGGAAGAGGTAATGGAAGGGGGAGTGACAATGGGAGGTGACTCACCACTCACACAGACACCCATAGACTCACCACTCACACAGAGACCCACAGACTCACCACTCACACAGAGACCCACAGACTCACCACTCACACAGAGACCCACAGACTCACCACTCACTCACACAGAGACCCACAGACTCACCACTCACACAGAGACCCACAGACTCACCACTCACATAGAGATCCATAGGCCCACCACTCACACAGAGACACATAGGCTCACCACTCACACAGAGACCCATAGACTCACCACTCACACAGAGACCCACAGACTCACTACTCACACAGAGACCCACAGACTCACCACTCACATAGAGACCCACAGACTCACCACTCACACAGAGACCCACAGACTCACCACTCACACAGAGACCCACAGACTCACCACTCACACAGAGACCCACAGACTCACCACTCACACAGAGACCCATAGACTCACCACTCACATAGAGACCCACAGACTCCCCACTCACACAGAGACCCACAGACTCACCACTCACACAGAGACCCACAGACTCACCACACTCGCACAGAGACCCATAGACTCACCATTCACACAGAGACCCATAGACTCACCACTCGCACAGAGACCCACAGACTCACCACTCACACAGAGACCCATAGACTCACCACACAGAGACTCATAGACTCACCACTCACACAGAGACCCATAGACTCACCACTCACGCAGAGACCCACAGACTCACCACTCACACAGAGACCCACAGACTCACCACTCACACAGAGACCTATAGACTCACCTCTCACACAGAGACCCATAGACTCACCACTCACACAGAGACCCATAGACTCACCACTCACACAGAGACACAAAGACTCACCAATCACACAGAGACCCATAGACTCACCACTCACACAGAGATCCATAGACTCACCACTCACACAGAGACCCACAGATTCACCACACTCGCACAGAGACCCATAGACTCACCACTCACACAGAGACCCATAGACTCACCACTCGCACAGAGACCCATAGACTCACCACTCGCACAGAGAACCATAGAGACCCACAGACTCACCACTCGCACAGAGACCCATAGAGACCCAAGACTCACCATTCACACAGAGACCCATAGACTCACCACTCACACAGAGACCCACAGACTCACCACTCACACAGAGACCCACAGACTCACCACTCACACAGAGGCCCATAGACTCACCACTCACACAGAGACCCACAGACTCACCACTCACACAGAGACCCACAGACTCACCACTCACACAGAGACCCACAGACTCACCACTCACACAGAGACCCACAGACTCACCACTCATACAGAGACCCATAGACTCACCACTCACACAGAGACCCATAGACTCACCACTCACACAGAGACCCATAGACTCAACACTCACAGAGAGACCCACAGACTCACCACTCACACAGAGACCCATAGACTCACCACTCACATAGAGACCCACAGACTCACCACACACATAGAGACCCATAGACTCACCACTCACACAGAGACCCATAGACTCACCACTCACACAGAGACCACAGACTCACCACTCACACAGAGACCCATAGACTCACCACTCACATAGAAACCCATAGACTCACCACTCCCACAGAGACCCAGAGAGACCCATAGAGACCCATAGAGGCCCATAGAGACCCATAGAGACCCATAAACTCACCGTTCTCAAAGAAGAAGCGGTAAAATTCGACGCCCTCCACCAGATTCCCCAGCGCCTCAGGCTCGAAGGACGTCACGCACGGATCACACATCCGCCTACACACATAGACAGAAACACAGTCACACACACAGACACACAAAGTCACACACACAGAAACACACACACAGTCACACACACACTCAGATACACACACACACAGACACACACACACACAGTCACACACACAGACACACACACAGACAACAACAACAACCGCCATTCGCCACGAAGTGGTGGTGACATCACCACGACGCTTGTGCCAGGCTATGTGCACCCTGAGGCCACGTGAAGTGTCGAACGCCCGCTGGCAGGAGGTCACGGGGCAGACCCAGGTGCCACGGGTCGACTGACTGAGATGACTGGCTGATGCACCACCTGTGCCCCCTACTGTGCCAACCTGCTGTGCTTTAGCCACCCGGCGCTCCACTCGTTGTTCTGAGCGTCGCTCCTCCGCCCTCTGTTGTTGTTGGAGGGCGACTACCTCCAACTGCCCAGTAGCGTCCTTCACGAGCCTCCTCCACAGAGGCAGATCTTGACACCGCTGGTACCAGTCATCGGCAAGTCCGCTCAGCTCCACGTCCTCCTGTACCACATCACTCCATCTCTTCTCTAGCCCGTGCCGCGCCCGTTTAGCCCCCTCAATCCGGTCGAACAAAAGCTGTTTCGGCATGTGGTGGCTGGGCATGCGGGCTACATGACCCAGCCATCGCAGCCTTGCCCGCCGGAGGAGCTCACCGATGGGACCTTGCCCAGATCTTTCAAGGATTTGTGAGCTCCTCACACAATCCAGTCTGGTTAAACTCAGGATGGATCGTAGGCAGGCCAGCCTAAATGTTTCTAACCGGCGAAGATGTTCCATTAGGGGGGTCCACGTTTCGCAAGCGTAGAGAAGGGAGGGAATGACCGTGGCCGAGAAGACCTAAAGCTTAGTGCGGAGCGACAGACCAGGTAGCTTCCATACAGCGTTACGCAACCGATGAAAAGATATTGCCGCTCGACTGATTCGGAGTGAGACCTCTGCTGTTAAACTGGAGCCGGTCATAAGAACACTGCCCAGGTATGGGAAACTCTCCACTCGCTCCACAACTGCCCCATCACCGATTGGGAGTTGTGGGGGTGGAGTGTCCGATGGTACAAAATACCCAGGCAGGTGCTTAGTTTTGGTGGGGCTGATAGTAAGGCCCCACCTCTTAGTGGCACACTCCAGTCTCAGCAGCAGCGTCTCCAACTCCTCCTCTGAATGAGCAGCTATTACCAAATCATCAGCATACATAACGTGGTTGAGCAATAGGGAGCCATCCCTTGACCGCACCCGGGCATCGATCAGCCTTCCATTTTATCTGTACCAAATGGAGATTCCCCCGGTAGAGCTATTAAAGGCTTAACGAACTACGTGGTCAAAATAGATGTCAAATAATGTGGGAGCCAGAGGACATCCCTGTCGCACCTCAAGGTGTACAGGGAATGGCTCTGACTCCCGGCCACGTAGTTTTAACCGGGCCCGCTCACCATCATGCAGGTCATTAATGATCATGAGCAGAGGGTCAGGTACTCTAAAAGCACGAAGAACAACCCAGAGCCCAGGCCTACTGATGGTATAATAGGCCTTGACCAGGTCAATAAAGCAGAGATGTAGGTCTTTTTGGAATTCCCTACACCTCTACTGTAGCAGACGGACATAAAATATGACATCTGTGCAGGACCGCCCTTTCCTGAAACCACATTGGGGCTCCGCAAGCCTCTCCTCAGCGTGCCTGGCAAGGTGATGCCGAATAATCCTTGCCAGGACCTTTCCCGGCACACTGAGGAGTGAAATGCCTCTGTAGTTGTTACAGTCTGTGCGGGCCCCCTTCTTAAAAAGGGGGACCACCAGGGTATCCTTCCAATCCTGCGGAACCCGTGCAGTGGTCCTGACTGTTGTTATGATGTCATATAGGGCAGTCTGTGCACAAACTCCACCCTCCCTCAGCATGTCGCTTGGGAGATCATCTCTGCCCGCTGCCTTTCCTGGTCTCAGACTCCGGATCGCCCTCAGTACTTCCTCAACAGATGGCACCTCAGCCAGCCACTCACAGGGGGTGACTTCTTCCAATATTTGAGGCACCGCAGCCTCAGCAGGGTCATCCTCACTTTGTGCCACGATGTTTTCCTGGCTGAGGGATTTTCCCTCCCGCATGACCTCACAGAAATGCTCAGAAAATCTGCAAACCTGTTCCTGGGGGTCGGAGATTGGATCACCGTTTTTCCCCTAATGATGGTAATAGGTGTGGCGCTGCAGGTTACTTTTTTGATGGCGTTAAATAGAGATTTGTGATCGCGGGCCACTGAGGCAGACTCCATCTCCTCAGCAACCCGCGACCACCACCCATCCTTGCAGCGCCTCACGACTCTCCGAACCTCCGAGCGAAGGCTGCGGTAAGCCTCCTCTGACATGTGATTCTGTAGCCGATGACAGTGGGCCTGTCGCTTTTTCTCAACCATCATGAACACCTCCTCTGTCAGCCAGGGTCTCTGGGGAGGTCTGGACCGCGTACCCAAAGCAGCCATTGCAGCTGCATGAGTCACAGTCCTAAACCTCGCCCATTTACCCTCGACATCAGGAGAAGTGGGGGACGATGCCAATCCCAGCCACAAGCGATGATGAAATTCTCGCTTGCAACTTTCATCAGATAACTGAGACCAGGCCACTTTATGTTGGAATGGGGTCCTGTACACCAACCACCGGAGTGGAAGAATGGCAGGCGCATCTTACAGATGACTAGTCGATGGTCAGAGGGCAGATCAGCTCCACGGTAGGTCCTGGTGTCAAGGACATGGGCTCGCATCCGCTGGTCCATCACTATGTAGTCCAGCAGATGTTCTTGCTTGGACCCGGCATGCATCCATGATGTTGTGTGGATGCGCCGATGCCGGAACAGCGTGTTGGTAATTACAGGCCCATGGGCTGCACAAAAATCTAGCAGCCTCCTACCGTTGTTATTGAGCTGATCTGGCCCATGCCCTCCAATCACTGCAGACCAGGTGCCAGCATCATGACCAACTCGGGCATTGAAGTCACCCAACATGATGACTCTTTCCCGAGGTGCCACTTTAGCCAGCACCTGTGACAGGAGGTCATAGAAGGCTTCTGACTCATCAGCTTTGCCTGCATCGTCTTCGGTGGGGGCATAAGTAACCACGACCACCACTCCTCGCCTCCGGTTGGTGGGAAGGCGAGCCCAAAGTAGCCTGGGGCTTACAGCTTCCCACACCTCACCACCACGCTCCCTCGCCCCCTTCATTCTTTTGTTCAAAAGAAGAGCCACACCCTGTTGTTTGGCAGTCTGCTGTCCCGAGTAGAGGACTGTCCACCCCTCATGGTGGCAGGAGCCAGAACCGGTCCATTGGACCTCCTGAATGCCACAGAGATCCAGGCGGTACTGGTCCAGCTCCCGACAGAGGAGTGGCTGCCTCTCCTCCGCAGTGAGCGTTTGAACATTCCACGTGGCCACACGAAGTGGCATTTCATTGTTTCTGGAGGAGCCCCGAGGGTTGAGATTCAATCTCCTGGCTCCACCAATTGGGGTTTGGCCAGGAGACATCATAGACGCCTGTCCCCCCGGGGCCTCCGGCACAAGCTTGTTAGTTACATATTTCAGTTTAACTCGTGGTTTAGTGGTAATTAATCGAAGGTGGAGGGGTTACCAGCCCCTCGCACCCGTCCAGAGCCCCCGTTTAGCCACTGTGGTGGACACAGACGCCATGAGGGGAGGAGCCAATCGGAATTGTCCCTCCCCCCACAGCACTGTCCAAGACAGAGTTGCCCGTCCGGCACTGCGAGGGGGTAGGGGGTTGTTTTGCACAGACACACACACAGACACACACACAGACACACACACACACACACAGACACGCACACACATAGACATACAGACACACACACAGACACACACACACAGACATGCACAAACAGACACGCACACACATAGACATACACACACAGGCAGACAAACACACAAACAGACAGACACAAACACAGAGCCAGACAGATAGACACAGAGTGACCCCCACACACAGACAGACTTAGAGATACATAGAGACCCATTGAGATACATAGGGACCCATTGAGATACATAGAGACCCATCCTCATAGAGACCCACACTCATTGGGGTCTCTATAATGGAGATTAGTCCATCCATGGGTAGAAGGATGTGAGATGGAACAGATGGAGATTAGTCCACACACGGGTAGAGAAGGGAGTGAGATGGAACAGATGGAGATTAGTCCACACACGGTGTAGCAGGGAGTGAGATGGAACAGATGGAGATTAGTCCACACACGGTGTAGAAGATAGTGAGATGGAACAGATGGAGATTAGTCCACACACGGTGTAGAAGGGAGTGAGATGGAGCAGATGGAGATTAGGCCACACACGGTGTAGAAGGGAGTGAGATGGAACAGATGGAGATTAGTCCACCCACGGGTAGAACGGAGTGAGGTGGAACAGATGGAGATTAGTCTACACACGGGGTAGAAGGGAGTGAGATGGAACAGATGGAGATTAGTCCACCCACGGGTGTAGCAGGGAGTGAGATGGAACAGATGGAGATGAGTCCACACACGGTGTAGCAGGGAGTGAGATGGAACAGATGGAGATTAGTCCACACACGGGTGTAGAAGGGAGTGAGATGGAACAGATGGAGATTAGTCCACACACGGTGTAGCAGAGAGTGAGATGGAACAGATGGAGATTAGTCCACACACGGTGTAGCAGGGAGTGAGATGGAACAGATGGAGATTAGTTCACACACGGTGTAGAAGAGAGTGAGATGGAACAGATGGAGATTAGTCCACACACGGCGTAGCAGGGAGTGAGATGGAACAGATGGAGATTAGTCCACACACGGTGTAGCAGGGAGTGAGATGGAACAGATGGAGATTAGTTCACACACGGTGTAGAAGAGAGTGAGATGGAACAGATGGAGATTAGGCCACACACGGTGTAGAAGGGAGTGAGATGGAACAGATGGAGATGAGTCCACACACGGCGTAGCAGGGAGTGAGATGGAACAGATGGAGATTAGTCCACACACAGGTGTAGCAGGGAGTGAGATGGAACAGATGGAGATTAGTTCACACACGCCGTAGCAGGGAGTGAGTTGGAACAGATGGAGATTAGTCCACACACAGTGTAGCAGGGAGTGAGATGGAACAGATGGAGATGAGTCCACACACGGTGTAGCAGGGAGTGAGATGGAACAGATGGAGATTAGTCGTTACCTGTAGGCCTCAAAGTCGCCATTGTTGATCGCCTCGATGAGTTCCTCCGTCACCTTGACGACCTCCATCTTCCTCGCTGTTGCCATGGCGACCAGAGGGAGAGGCGGGGAGGAGAGAAGTGTAGTGTGAGTCTATAGTAAGTGTAGTGTGAGTCTATAGTAAGTGTAGTGTGAGTCTATAGTAAGTGTAGTGTGAGTCTATAGTAAGTGTAGTGAGTCTATAGTAAGTGTAGTGTGAGTCTATAGTAAGTGTAGTGAGTCTATAGTAAGTGCAGTGAGTCTATAGTAAGTGTAGTGTGAGTCTATAGTAAGTGCAGTGTGAGTCTATAGTAAGTGTAGTGAGTCTATAGTAAGTGCAGTGTGAGTCTATAGTAAGTGTAGTGAGTCTATAGTAAGTGTAGTGTGAGTCTATAGTAAGTGTAGTGAATCCATCACTAAGTGTAGTGTGTCTATAGTAAGTGTAGTGTGAGTCTATCACTAAGTGTAGTGTGTCTATAGTAAGTGTAGTGTGAGTCTATAGTAAGTGTAGTGTGAGTCTATAGTAAGTGTAGTGTGAGTCTATAGTAAGTGTAGTGTGTCTATAGTAAGTGTAGTGAGTCTATCACTAAGTGTAGTGAGTCTATAGTGAGTGTAGTGAGTCTATAGTAAGTATAGTAAGTCTATAGTAAGTATAGTGAGTCTATAGTAAGTGTAGTGTGAGTCTATCACTAAGTGTAGTAAGTCTATAGTAAGTGTAGTGAGCCTATAGTAAGTATAGTGAGTCTATAGTAAGTGTAGTGTGAGTCTATCACTAAGTGTAGTGAGTCTATCACTAAGTGTAGTGAGTCTATAGTGAGTGTAGTGAGTCTATAGTGAGTGTAGTGAGTCTATAATAAGTGTAGTGAGTCTATCACTAAGTTTAGTGAGTCTATAGTGAGTGTAGTGAGTCTATAGTAAGTGTAGTGAGTCTATAGTAAGTGTAGTGTGAGTCTATAGTAAGTGTAGTGTGAGTCTATAGTAAGTGTAGTGAATCCGTCACTAAGTGTAGTGTGTCTATAGTAAGTGTAGTGTGAGTCTATCACTAAGTGTAGTGAGCCTATAGTAAGTATAGTGAGTCTATCACTAAGTGTAGTGAGTCTATAGTGAGTGTAGTGAGTCTATAGTAAGTATAGTGAGTCTATAGTAAGTGTAGTGTGAGTCTATCACTAAGTGTAGTGAGTCTATAGTAAGTGTAGTGTGAGTCTATAGTAAGTGTAGTGAGTCTATAGTAAGTGTAGTGTGAGTCTATAGTAAGTGTAGTGTGTCTATAGTAAGTGTAGTGAGTCTATAGTAAGTATAGTGAGTCTATAGTAAGTGTAGTGTGAGTCTATCACTAAGTGTAGTGAGTCTATAGTAAGTGTAGTGAGTCTATAGTAAGTATAGTGAGTCTATAGTAAGTGTAGTGTGAGTCTATCACTAAGTGTAGTGAGTCTATAGTAAGTGTAGTGAGTCTATAGTAAGTGTAGTGAGTCTATAGTAAGTGTAGTGTGAGTCTATCACTAAGTGTAGTGAGTCTATAGTAAGTGTAGTGAGTCTATAGTAAGTGTAGTGAGTCTATAGTAAGTGTAGTGAGTCTATAGTAAGTGCAGTGAGTCTATAATAAGTGTAGTGAGTCTATCACTAAGTGTAGTGAGTCTATCACTAAGTGTAGTGAGTCTATCACTAAGTGTAGTGAGTCTATAGTAAGTGTAGTGAGTCTATAGTAAGTATAGTGAGTCTATCACTAAGTGTAGTGTGAGTCTATAGTAAGTGTAGTGTGAGTCTATAGTAAGTGTAGTGTGAGTCTATAGTAAGTGTAGTGAGTCTATAGTAAGTGTAGTGTGAGTCTATAGTAAGTGTAGTGAGTCTATAGTAAGTGTAGTGTGAGTCTATAGTAAGTGTAGTGAGTCTATAGTAAGTGTAGTGAGTCTATAATAAATGTAGTGAGTCTATCACTAAGTGTAGTGAGTCTATAGTAAGTGTAGTGAGTCTATAGTGAGTGTAGTGAGTCTATAGTAAGTGTAGTGAGTCTATAGTAAGTATAGTGTGAGTCTATAGTAAGTGTAGTGAGTCTATAATAAATGTAGTGAGTCTATCACTAAGTGTAGTGAGTCTATAGTAAGTGTAGTGAGTCTATAGTAAGTATAGTGAGTCTATCACTAAGTGTAGTGAGTCTATAGTAAACGTAGTGAGTCTATAGTAAGCGTAGTGAGTCTATAGTAAGTGTAGTGAGTCTATAGTAAGTGTAGTGAGTCTATAGTAAGTGTAGTGAGTCTATAGTGAGTGTAGTGAGTCTATAATAAGTGTAGTGAGTCTATCACTAAGTGTAGTGAGTCTATAGTAAGTGTAGTGAGTCTATAGTAAGTGTAGTGAGTCTATAGTAAGTGTAGTGAGTCTATAGTGAGTGTAGTGAGTCTATAATAAGTGTAGTGAGTCTATCACTAAGTGTAGTGAGTCTATAGTGAGTGTAGTGAGTCTATAGTGAGTGTAGTGAGTCTATAGTAAGTGTAGTGAGTCTATAGTAAGTGTAGTGTGAGTCTATAGTAAGTGTAGTGAGTCTATAGTAAGTGTAGTGTGAGTCTATAGTAAGTGCAGTGTGAGTCTATAGTAAGTGTAGTGAGTCTATAGTAAGTGCAGTGTGAGTCTATAGTAAGTGTAGTGAGTCTATAGTAAGTGTAGTGTGAGTCTATAGTAAGTGTAGTGAATCCATCACTAAGTGTAGTGTGTCTATAGTAAGTGTAGTGTGAGTCTATAGTAAGTGTAGTGTGAGTCTATCACTAAGTGTAGTGTGTCTATAGTAAGTGTAGTGTGAGTCTATAGTAAGTGTAGTGTGTCTATAGTAAGTGTAGTGAGTCTATCACTAAGTGTAGTGAGTCTATAGTGAGTGTAGTGAGTCTATAGTAAGTGTAGTGAGTCTATAGTAAGTGTAGTGAGTCTATAGTAAGTGTAGTGAGTCTATAATAAATGTAGTGAGTCTATCACTAAGTGTAGTGAGTCTATAGTGAGTGTAGTGAGTCTATAGTAAGTGTAGTGAGTCTATAGTAAGTGTAGTGAGTCTATAATAAGTATAGTGAGTCTATCACTAAGTGTAGTGAGTCTATAGTAAGTGTAGTGAGTCTATAGTAAGTATAGTGAGTCTATCACTAAGTGTAGTGTGTCTATAGTAAGCGTAGTGAGTCTATCACTAAGTGTAGTGAGTCTATAGTAAGTGTAGTGAGTCTATAGTAAGTATAGTGAGTCTATCACTAAGTGTAGTGTGTCTATAGTAAGCGTAGTGAGTCTATCACTAAGTGTAGTGAGTCTATAGTAAGTGTAGTGAGTCTATAGTAAGTATAGTGAGTCTATCACTAAGTGTAGTGTGTCTATAGTAAGTGTAGTGTGAGTCTATAGTAAGTGTAGTGTGAGTCTATCACTAAGTGTAGTGAGTCTATAGTAAGTGTAGTGTGAGTCTATCACTAAGTGTAGTGAGTCTATCACTAAGTGTAGTGAGTCTATAGTAAACGTAGTGAGTCTATAGTAAGCGTAGTGAGTCTATAGTAAGTGTAGTGAATCCGTCACTAAGTGTAGTGAGTCTATAGTAAGTGTAGTGTGAGTCTATCACTAAGTGTAGTGAGTCTATAGTAAGTATAGTGAGTCTATAGTAAGTGTAGTGTGAGTCTATAGTAAGTGTAGTGAGTCTATAGTAAGTGTAGTGAGTCTATAGTAAGTGTAGTGTGTCTATAGTAAGTGTAGTGAGTCTATCACTAAGTGTAGTGAGTCTATAGTAAGCGTAGTGAGTCTATAGTAAGTGTAGTGAGTCTATAAGTGTAGTGAGTCTATCACTAAGTGTAGTGAGTCTATAGTAAGCGTAGTGAGTCTACAGTAAGTGTAGTGTGAGTCTATAGTAAGTGTAGTGTGTCTATAGTAAGTGTAGTGAATCTATAATAAGTGTAGTGTGTCTATAGTAAGTGTAGTGTGAGTCTATAGTAAGTGTAGTGAGTCTATAGTAAGTGTAGTGAGTCTATAATAAGTGTAGTGAGTCTATCACTAAGTGTAGTGAGTCTATAGTAAGCGTAGTGAGTCTACAGTAAGTGTAGTGAGTCTATAGTAAGTGTAGTGTGTCTATAGTAAGTGTCCCTGTGTGTTCCCCCCATCGCCGGTCGGCCCCTCACCCCGCTCCCCTCCTCCACCCTCTCCGTCCCCCAGGGAGGCGCCCCTAGCCACCCAGGCGAGGCCGCAGGCTGCGAGGCGAGACCAGGCCTCGCCCACCCAGGTGAGCCAGGCTCCGAGTACGGCCCACCAGGCCGTAGGCCCCTCCGAGCCCATGCCAGAGAAGAACCGGCTCCGACCGGAATGAAGCGGCTCAGTCTTGATTCGGTTGGTTTGATGGCTGGTCTCTAGCTCCCCTATTGGCTGTCCGAGGCCATCCAGGAAAGAACCGGCTCTGACCGGATAGAAGCGGAATAAACTCCAACCGATACCGGTGGACGAACCGGATCCGACCGGAACCAACCGGCTCTGTCTTGATTCGGCTGGTTTGATGGCTGGTCTATAGCTCCCCTATCGGCTTGCCAGAAGCGCTCACCAACAACCGGGCTAAACTGGTTCTAACTAAAAGCTATCGAGCGTTTTAACTGCTTTTAAAATAAAGAACTCCCCAACAATATAAAACTGTCTGGTGCGCGTTTTTTTTAAATAGCCGACCTTGATGATGGTTTAAATACAAGTCCGAAGAAGTGAAATTTCTCGTCAGATCTTCCTCACAAATATAACAAACTGCTGATACCGCTTAACATCTCACCGCAACCGACTTAAAACCGCTTTAAGCCAGTTAACCCGAACTCCTAACCGGTCACAACTGGCCCTGAAGCTATTCCGGCCGAGTTCGAAACTCCGCTGAAACTAATTTAAACTAACCTTAAGCAGCTTAAGATTCGCCACGGGGATGGCAGGATACAAACGGCTTGGGCAACAAACTCTCGCGGGCTCAAAACCACCTTGGACCGGTCCGAGGCGGAGCGAACTGGTTCATAGCTCTCAGTCAATTGAGTGTTTCAAACCGGCTGAAATGTACGCACCTTCAAGACGCCAACCAACCAAG